ATGTTGGGCAGGCCTCCGTGTGAGGGCCACACCCTCCAGTGGAAACAGTCCACCCAGGAACCCTGGGCTTTCCATGTTGCTGCTCCACCCTGAGGACAAGACGCGCTGTCCCAGCTGTGCCGCCGCTCGCTGGCCCCTGCATGCATGCTTTAGGCCAGTCACAGGCCCTCTCCGGGCACAGTTCCTGGCTGCAAGCGGGGGCGATGACGGTGAAGACGGACAGGACTGAACTGGGGCGGCAGGCGCAGCCTGTGGCGCTCAGAGCGTGAGGCTGCACGCACAGCACCAGGTAAGCGTCGGGGGAAGGAAAAGCTGCGCCGGCGGCCTGGCTGGGCCTGCACTGCTGTCCCAGCCTGCAGGAAAGGGGACACCAAGGCACGGAATGTCCCCGGGGCCCCCGCCCCTGCAGAGGCCATCGCAGCTTTCCAAGAAAGCCAGGCACAGGGAGGGGCTCTGGGTGTCCGGGGTGTGGGACATCCATCGGGCCCTGCCCCTCGAGGGGCAAAGCTCAACCCAGACACCGGGCGATGGAAAGGGGACCTTACACCCCAGCACAGGACTGGGCATGGCCCTCTTCCCCGCCCCACGTCTGTCCTCCGATCCCACCCTGTTCTGCCCGCCCCTCCACCACCCCTTTCCCTACAGCCAAGCCCTGGAGCCCAGGAGCCCCGCTGTGAGCCAGCGTCAAACCGCGCTGGGCTGGTGGCCCTCACCGAGGCCTGGAGCTGGGGCCAGCCTCAGAGATGGTGCAAGCCCAGCCCACAGCCCCCTTGGTTCCTCCACCCAAGTCTGTCTATCCCTGCCCCCACCCGCACGCCCGCCCACTTGCCTGCCCCCCTGTGCTCTCTTCACTCCTCCCAACGTTGGCCCCACCCTGTCCAGGCCCCGCCAGCCCTATGCCAGGCCCAGACCCTGGTGTGCTGAGCTGATCCCACCTCCAAGCTGGCAGCCGCCACACCTGGGGCTCTTGCCTCATGCAGCGTCCATGGGCTGCCTGGCTGCCCAGGCTCTCCACCTCCACCCCAGCCTCCCCCACGGGAAACACCAGGATGCCCAGTGAGCTGGATGGAGCCAGCTCCCAGCACCTCCAGACCAGATGCACTCCTCCTTGCTCCTGGCTCACCGCCCACCGGCTCCCCACCCCCGCCCCCACCCCCTCACACCTGCAGGACAGGCAGCAGCTCAGCCCAGACACCAGGCTGCCAGTCAGCAGTGTAGGTAGAATCAAAACACGTGCTCACATGCACGCACACACATGCACACATGCTCTCTCTGTAACATGCACACACACGAATCCAAACCCATGTGCATATACTCATGCACACCCATGAACACACACACACGTGCTCACTGGCCCAACTCCTGAGGGCTCTAGGACACCCCACTGCACACCCCACGCCCAGGCCACACTCGCACAGGAGCACGTGGCCTGCAGCACACCCACGGGCCCCTCAAAGACACACCAGGCCCAGCAGAGGAAGCCCACGTTGCCACGAGGACATCCCCGCACTGAGGTCTGAAACACTGTCAGGACACTGGCTGTCACCGAGTGCCAGCCCGGAGGCTGGGAAGGCAGGAGGCAGCTCAGCCGGCCCCGCAGCCTCAGCTCGGGTTTGTCAGAGGCTCCCTCGGTGTGGATGGAAGCACCGGGTCCTGGCGGCCTCGCTCTAAGCCCCCGCCAGCCCGTGAGGCCGGAGCACCACCCAGCCCTGCATGCACCTCTCTGGGCTCTGCAGCCCCCTAGCGGCCCTGGCCCTGAGGCTCTACCCCCCACCCCAGGACACTGCCCGGGCTAGTGCCTCCCTCACCCATGCACTGTCCTGTCCCGCTGCCCCTGGGGTTTCCCAAGTTGAGGTCACCCCTACCTACCCAGCTTCCCTGCCCATCTGTGGAGAGAAAGGACCCCCAGTCCCTAGACCTAAGCTTGTCCCTGCGCCTCAGCCCTGACTGACAGTCATTCCCAGAGCGGGTCAGCGCCGTCCCCAGCCCTTCCCACAGCAGCCAGGTGCCACCGCGTCCTCGGCCCGGGCCCCCTGCCGGACGGCGCCCGGGCACCCCTGCCGGACGGCGCCCGGGCCCCCCTGCCGGACAGCGCCCAGGTCCCAGAACCTCCCAGAGGCTCTCGGTCAGACCTGTTCTCGCAGTAACACGGGGCCACGTTCTCGCTTCTCTCTGTCCCTGCGCAGTGGTGTCCGCAGTCGTCATGACGCTGTGACATGTGCTCGCCATTCTTGTTCTACTTGTCCTTTGTAGTGAGATTAGGGGTTACCTTCGTTCTTCTCTTTATTTTTCCCATCAGCATTTATCCCCCTGTACCCTCTTCTACCTCCACTCCCCCAGCACCCTGCCCCTGCAATCACCACACTGCATTAAAAAAAATGGCTCTTTTTTTTTAAATAAGTTTTTATTGATTTCAGAGAGAAAGGGAAAGGGAGAGAGAGATAGAAACACAATGATGAGAGAGAATTGTTGATTGGCTGCTTCCTGCACGCCCCCCCACTGGGGCATGTGCCCGGACTGGGAATGGCCTCCTGGTAGGGCACTGAGCCTACCACTGAGCCACGCCGGCCGGGCCACACTGCACTCGTTTTAAACACGTGTTCATTTCCAGTCCACTCGGCATCCATAGATGCAACTCAGCGACCTGTGACACGGTGAGGGTCTGAGACACACAGCCTAGACTGTAACCTCGGGACTCTGCCCACAGTCCCCGGCCCCCCTTCCTGCCAGGCGGGCACATTGCCCTCTGACCCTGTAGCCCAGGCCCCAGGTGTGGCCAAGACCCGCTGAATGGCGGCTGCTCCAGGACAGCTGGAAATGGGATCTGTTTGCAGTGCTGGAGGCAGGGGAGCCAGCCTCCACCCAGAGGTCAGTGGGAAAATCCCAGGAGAGGTACCTGTGTGTGCTGCCTCCTTGTGGACACCTTGAGCTATTGCATTCCCCACCAGGCCTTGGTCCCAGATTTCAGCCTCCTCCCATCCCTGTCCTTCCCCAACCCTTGCCCCCCCCATGGGCCAGCCTGAGCCAGGGTGCAGGGAGGCCAGGGGCGAGGCCAGGCTTCAGACTTGTGGGCTTGGGGCTTCTCAGACCTGCCTTCATCAACCCACCCGAGAGGTGCCCAATGAATAGACACCCTCCCCAGAAGGCCTGCCCTCCACCCCCAGGACTCAGATGGGAATGGGAGCGCGCTCCCACCTCTGTCCTCACCTGCTCTTGGGCGTCCATGAGCCTGGAAGGGCCTGTGTGCCGCCCCACACACACCCACCTGGACGGCCAGCAGTGAGTCCCCAGCTCAGGCCTCTGCTGTGTGGACAGCTAACATCGTCCCACCTTCAGTGTCTGGGTGACGAGGGGACGTGACTGGGACCGGAGGGTGAGGACCCCTCAGGGACCGCTGGGTCCTGTCTCTGGTTGCCAAGTTCTTTTATTCGGGCCCAATTCTAACTGGGCCCAGGGTGTACGGGCGTTTCCCAGGGCCTGGTCACATTAACCTCTGCAGGTTTACCCCACCCCACCCATGGTGGTGGCCAGGGGCTGACCACTGTGCCAGGAAGCACCCAGTCCCTGCTTTGGGCAGGGTCACTAGACAAAACACAGAGACCAGTTTCAACTTCAGGGAAACAGCAAATACTTGGTCGGTGTAAATATTGTGTGGGAGATTTATGTTGAAGATTATCCCACTTACCCCAAATCCCAAGCGCCTGGCTGTCTTGTGTCTGTATTTGCTGACTTGGCCGCCCTCCTGAGAGGTCTCTGTGGTTCAGCCGCCAGCATGACCACCCGGGAAGAGACGCCAAAGGGCACTCTGGCTGCCCATGTCCCACTCTGCCATCAGGCTTCAAGGGCCCGGCCCCCCAGGGGGCTGGCGGGGGGACACCAACCCTCCACAAGCCTCTGAGCACCTGCCCACCCTCCTGGCTGGCAGCACCCCGGGGTGATGTGGGCTGGATGCACCCCTGAGATTCCAGCCCCGTCCCTGAGACCTGTGCTGTGACCTACATGGCAAGAAAGGGCTTTGAAAAGGCACTGAGTTAAGGGTCTGGGATGATGTTCTGGGTTAGCCAGGAGGGTCTTCGATGCAATTCCAAGGGCCCTTGTAAGAAGGGTGCGGGAGGAGGCGTGGCGCCCAGGCAGAGGTCGGAGTTAAAGCCACAGCCAGGGCCAAGAGGCCAGGAGTGCCCAGGCCCTCGAGCCCAGCACCTTGACTTTGTGCCGGTGATTCTGTTTGGGCTGTGAGAGCCCCTTGCTGTCACTTTAAACGGCAGCTGACATTTGTTGCGGGGCCTCACACACTATGGAGCCTGCTCTTGGCCTGGAGTCTGCCCTGGGGTCTGCTTGTCCCCTACCCCCCCCCCGCCCCCCAGCTCCAGGGGCAGCCCCCCCCACGGGCAGGTGGCGCCGCTCCCTATGGCAGGGCTGGCTGAGCAGATTTTCCCTGCCACCCAGTCCTTGCTGACCAAGCTCAGGCTGACCAGGGTTTCTGGGGGTAGTGTCCTGGGTGTGCCGCCCGGCTGAGGAGCAAGGGGGACACAGTGCTGTCCCAACGGCCGCTGGGGCAGGAACCCCAGGAAAGTGAGTGAGCACCGGTGGTGTGTGATCATCACTCGTGGGAAGGGCCCTCAGCTCTCACCCCGTTCTCAGAGACCCCAGAACATCCAGCCCCACCCCCACGCTGCAGACCCCAGGGGGCAAGCCGGCCTCCTGGGCGGCGCCTCCGGCAGCACCCGCCCCCCGCAGCAGGCGCACACAGCTCTGGGCGGCTCGGTTTATTGGTAAAACGGGCACTGAGCGAGGCGAAGGCTGGACGCGGAAGCGGCGGCGGCTCTTTTCCTCTTGAAGAACTTCCACTGGACCTTGATGGCGAGCATCCAGTCGCTCACGGACAGCCTCTGGCAGGCGGAGGTGCAGACATGCTTCTGGCGGGGGGGCGGGGCCGGGCGGGGGCGCGGGGCGCGGGGCGCGGCGCCGCCGGGGAGGGTCGCGCCGCGGGCGCCCGCGCTTCACTTGCCCGCCTTCTGCGCCTTCTGCGCCGACTTGGTGACCTTCCCGGCGCCGCCGCTCTTCTTCTCCACGTTCTTGATGACGCCCACGGCCACCGTCTGCCGCATGTCGCGCACCGCAAAGCGGCCTGCGGGGAGGGGCGGTGGTGAGGGCGCCGCGCTCCCCGCCGCCGCCCGGCCCCGCCCCGCCGGCCACGCCCCACCACGCCCGGCCCCGCCCCGGGATGCAGCCTCTGGCCGCTGGGCTCCAGGCTCTGTGTCTGCGCGGCAGCCACTGGAGCTGTGCGCCGTGGGAGGGCCACTTGGGGAGGGGGCACCCCAGACCTGCCCAGGGGCCCCGGGTGCTCTGGGAGAGGGGCCGGTCTCCTGCTAAAGCTCGGGGCGCCTCCCTGCAGCCGTGCACTCACCCAGAGGCGGGTACTGGGAGAAGCTCTCCACACACATGGGCTTCCCGGGCACCATCTCCACGATGGCCGCGTCGCCCGACTTCAGGGACTTGGGGTTGTCCTCCAGCTTCTTGCCGGAGCGCCGGTCTATCTTCTCCTTCAGCTCCGCGAACTTGCAGGCGATGTGGGCCGTGTGGCAGTCAATAACCGGCGAGTAGCCGGCGCTGATCTGCCCAGGGTGGTTCAGAATGATGACCTGGGGGCGGAGGGGCAGAGGCATCAAAGCAGGGAGAGGCTACAGCCCACCTCCCGGGGCCTGGGGCCCGGAGTGCTGACGGTGGAAAAAGGGACAGCCTGGACGGCGGGGTCAGAGGGCACAGACGGGACGCCGGGGTCAGAGGGGACAGCCTGGACGCCGGGGTCAGAGGGGACAGACGGGACGCCGGGGTCAGAGGGGACAGCCTGGACGGCGGGGTCAGAGGGCACAGAGGGGACGCCGGGGTCAGAGGGCACAGCCTGGATGCCGGGGTCAGAGGGCACAGAGGGGACGCCGGGGTCAGAGGGGACAGCCTGGACGCCGGGGTCAGAGGGCACAGCCTGGACGCCGGGGTCAGAGGGGACAGCCTGGACACCGGGGTCAGAGGACACAGACGGGACGCCGGGGTCAGAGGACACAGACGGGACGCCGGGGTCAGAGGGCACAGATGGGACGCCGAGGCCGGCACTGAGCATTGGAAGGAGTGGAAATAAATCAGCCCCCCGGGACGAACAGCAGCCGCGCACATCCCCCCGCCGGAACCAGGACGGAGGGCAAACCCGGGCTCAGTGTCAGTCACTTGTCAATGAGGCGGTTTAAACTGTGGTCCGTGGGCGGTGACAGATGGGTGCAGTGTGAGAAGGAAGCCACCAGATGTGTCCGCGGTAAGTGAGTAAAGCCCTTTCCGGGCCGCGTGGGCCTCGTGCAGCCCCAAGCGCACCCTTCCAGGCCCTGGGCCCTGTGCAGCCTCCCCGGGCCGGGAGGGCGTGTGCAAAGCCAGGGCTGAGTTCTCCCAAGGCCAGGCCGGGGGCCTGGCTCCCCCGAGGCCGGCGCACCCCTGCGGGGCACCCACCTGGGAGGTGAACTGGGCGGCCTCCTGGGGGGGGTCGGACTTGCTGTCCCCGCACACGTTGCCCCGGCGGATGTCCTTGACGGACACATTCTTCACGTTGAAGCCGACGTTGTCGCCGGGCAGGGCCTCGCTCAGGGCCTCGTGGTGCATCTCCACCGACTTCACCTCCGTGGTGATGTTCACCGGCGCGAAGGTCACCACCATGCCAGGCCGCAGGATGCCCGTCTCCACTCGGCCCACGGGCACGGTGCCAATGCCTGGGCCAGGGGAGGGGGCTGAGGGGCGGGCGGCCAAAGGGTGCCCCCGGTCCTCCCGGCAGGCATGGGCGCGGCCGCACGGAGGGAGTGGGGGGGCAGGGAGGCCCAGACGAGGGAGGCAGACACAGGGACGAGGCTCCCCGGCCCCACAGGGAAGGAGGGGCTGCACAAGAGTTCCCAGAACCTCTCAGCAGGGGACGGGCGAGGAGAGGCCATCTGGGCTGGGCCCTTTCCCTGCCCCCAGTGAGGACCTGGGTCCCTCGCCTCTGAGGCGCCTCCTCGTGAGGGGGAGCACCCCCCCAGCGCAATGACCGGCCCAGCTTCAAAGCCCCTGGCACGGGACTGTCCCTCGAGGGACGTTGGTGCCGCCCCTTCTCATGGATCTGCTCACCCTCGGGGGCGTCCCACAGGCCAGAGGCCCCGCCCATCTCCCTGGCTGTGATGGAGGCGGTGTGGCCTCACAGTAGGACAGACACAGGCTGTGGCTGCTCACACTGGGTGAGCTTGCACACAGGCCCCGACACCTCCAGACACAGAGCCTGATGGGCCTCACACTTACAGAGACACGGTTCTGTCACTATATCAACTCATGAGTAGCAATTCCCACTCCTGGGCAAGGAGGATATGACCGTCCAGGCCAACCAGGGAGGCCAGGCAGGGAAGGCGGAGGGGGGTCCTGTGGGCCTCCCCAGGAGGCAGAGGGTGCAGTCAGCCCCCCAGTACTACATGGGGTCCCGTAGGAAACGTGCGATTGCAGTGTGAAAGCGCGCAGCCCAGCAGACGGGCGGCCCTCCAGCCACGCCCAGGCCACAGGCTGGCACACCTGTGCCATCACCCTGTGCCACCAGCTCTTGGCATTGGACCAAGCACGTATCTGGAGAGAGGAAGACCTGGCAAACACTGGGCAGGCCGAAGGATGGGTGGGTGGGCAGCTGGATAGAGGGATAGGTTGGCAGGTGGGTGTTGGACAGGGTTTGGGGTGGGGAGGTGAGCAGGTAGACGGGGATGGATGGATGGATGGGTAACCCAGAAAGTGTGCAGCGTGGGGGGAGAGGCAGAAAGACCCTGGCGTTGGGCACTCCTTGCCAGGGCCCTCATCTCAGGAGAGGGTCTGAGGGGCAGAGCTGGCCAAGGTGTGCCGGGCGCCTACAGGAGCGCCCTGTGCCCTCACTCACCACCAATCTTGTACACGTCCTGCAGCGGCAGGCGCAGGGGCTTGTCCGTGGGGCGTGTGGGGGGCAGGATGGTGTCCAGGGCCTCCAGCAGGGACACGCCACTGGCGTTCCCTTCCTTCCGCTCCACTTTCCAGCCCTTGAACCACGGCATCTGGGCAGGAAGAGACAGCCTGCTACCCCCACCCCAGTCCCAATGGGGGAATCCCAGTGCAGGCACCGACCTGAGGGGGCCTGGGAGGCAGGGGCGCTAAGCCCCACCCCTCCACCAAGGGCCCATTGAGATGCTAAGACTCTGACCCCTCCCAAGCTCCCTCCTAACAGACACCTGGGCAGGGGGAAGAAAGGGTGCTGAGCTGCCACGGCGGCCCAGACCCAGACCTCACACAGGGTTACTGGCCGAGCCGGAAGCACAGAGGCCACGGTGCCACCTTCTCTAGGCACCACCCACAGAGCATTACCCAGGCTCCTGGCACCGCGCCCCTGCCCACCAGCCCCAGAGGGAGACGAAGCCCGCAGCACCATGCCCAGTCCGTCCACAGGGACCCAGTCCGTCCACAGGGACCAGTCCTCTAGGCAGCCCAGGCCAACCAGTGAGGGGTCCGCACTCGCCAGCAGGCCAGGCAGGGAAGGCGGAGGGGGGTCCTGTGGGCCTCCCCAGGGGGCAGAGGGTGCGGTCAGCCCCCCAGCACTACATGGGGTCCCATAGGAAATGTGCAATTGCAGTGTGAAAGCATGCAGCCCAGCAGACGGGCGCCCTCCAGCCGCGCCCAGGCCACAGGGCTCAAGCGGCTCTCCTGCAGGCCCACGCCCGCACTCCCGTGTCAGTGGCCGCCCTAAGGGCCAGGGCGTCCTTGGCTTCACAGAGCCAAGGCACTGCGTCCCAGGTTCAACAGATCCAAAAGCCCCAGCTGCACTCGTCGCCTCCTGCCCAGTCCGAGTTCCGGGGACAGGGGCTGCCCAAGCAGAGAGCCAGCCTCAGCCCTCCCCGAGCCAGCTAGCTCCGCGCCAAGGGGTGCCAGGACGCTCTGAAACTAACCCCGCACAGGCTCCTGGAGCCGGCCCGTGGGCCAGCAGCTGCCTCTCTGCGGTGTGGGCCTGGGGGACTGTCCGAGCCAACAAGAGGCCGCAGAACCGCTGCCAGCCGCACGTGGCCCGAGGACCCCGCAGGGCTGGCTCCGGCACGGGCGCAGGCTAAGGGAGGCCACAGGGTGAAGGGAGTCAGCCCTCTGACCCAGCGCCCACCCACCCTGACCCTGCCTGACCTTGATCCAGTGCCCTGGGCCCTCCCGGCTCCCGCCAGGCACTCACATTGGGGGAGGGCTCCAGCATGTTGTCGCCGTGCCAGCCGGAGATGGGCACGAAGGGCACGGTGGCCGGGTTGTAGCCGATCTTCTTGATGTAGGCGCTGACCTCCTTGACGATCTCGTCGTAGCGCTTCTCGCTGTAGGCGGGCTCCGTGGAGTCCATCTTGTTGATGCCCACGATGAGCTGCTTCACGCCCAGCGTGTAGGCCAGCAGCGCGTGCTCCCGGGTCTGCCCGTTCTTCGAGATGCCCGCCTCAAACTCGCCCACTCCTGCCGCCACGATCAGCACAGCGCAGTCCGCCTGCACAGCGGGGAGGGCACAGCGCTGTGAGCCCAGACCTCACCTGGCGCCCAGGCCCCTCGGGCAGCAGACAGGGGCCTGGGCACGCCCTGGGATGGGGCCTGGGAGTCTCGACCTTAGGCAAGTGGCAGGGGCTCATGTCTGTCTGCCTGGAGGGATGCCCTGGCAAGGTCAGGGGCGGCCCGAGTCTGTCTGTGGCACAGGGCCCTGACACCGGCTGGCTGTCCTTACAGGCACCACCCTGGTCGAGATGCTGAGGTGCTTAATCAGTTGTTTTCGCGACTCTGTGCCAGGTGGTGCAAGAGGGCACAGGCGAGGGTCCCTGCCCGGATGAGGAAGCAGAGGAGACCCGACTGCCCTCCAATGACTCCAGAGCCCGCACCCAGGTGCCCCCTCCGGGCCCCGTGGCCCGGCCTGCCCACCTGGGACGTGCCGGTGATCATGTTCTTGATGAAGTCACGGTGGCCCGGGGCATCGATGATGGTGATGTAGTACTTGGTGGTCTCGAACTTCCAGAGGGAGATGTCAATGGTGATGCCGCGCTCCCGCTCCGCCTTCAGCTTGTCCAGCACCCAGGCATACTTGAAGGAGCCCTTCCCCATCTGCAGGGGCGGGGTGACTCAGGCGAGGCCCAGGCCGGCCGCCTGGCGGGCAGACCCGGGCCATGGAAACAGCGCCTCACGCGGAGAGGCCGGAAACAGGCCCAGCCCCCAGGCTCCCCAGGGAACCTGGGACTCCCTGAGGAGCACTCAGGACCCAGCCCGGGTGGGGTGTCCTGGCTCCCCAGCCCAGCTGCCAGTCTCCTAAATGAGCACAACTCAGGCATCCACCAGTAGGTGGCGTAAGGGCCTGTGACCGGCTCTGAGAGAAGTCGCAGGCCAAAGCCCTCCCCGGCTGGTGGCTCCCTTTAGTGGAAGCTGAACCCACTCCCCCAAGATCCCTGCCTCAGCCAGAGGCGCACCACCACCGGGTTTTAGGCTGTCAGGTCAAAAACCCCTGCGATTGCTTTTTAAAGAAAGAAATCGAATGAGGTCACAAGCAAGGGCCTGGCTCTCCAGCTCTTTCCCTAGCCAGCCCAGCTTCCCGCAGCTCCGCGGTGCTGCGCCCCTCCCTGGCCCACCTGGCGGGGGAGCAAAGCCAGGCTGCTGTCTCACACACCTGTGCCCAGTGCCAGGGAGACCCCATGCCTGGGGCCAGGACTGCCGCTAGGAGAACAGCCTTGGTCCCTGCCCAGCTGGACACAGCTCCCGGCCATGGCCGTGCACAGACAGGGCTCTGCCCTCCCGGAGGCTGCCCAGCCAGAAGGAGTCACCCAGACAGGACCCCAAAGACCGGAACCATATGCCCTGAAAACACGTCAACCTCCCTCCGGCTCCAGACCCACAGGGAGAAGTGACACAGCTTTGGGCCTGGCATGGAGGGAGGTAGCTCACAGCACCCGCACCCGCCCCATGGCCAGGCGCTGCCCCTCCCCGGCCCTGGTCCAGCCGCTCTGTCACCAGGTGAGAGCCACTCAGCTCCCCAGATGGAGGCTTCTCACAGAGCTCAGGGTGGGGGCAAGGGTGCAGGAAGCAGGACCCCACTCCGTGGCCACTTCCCACCCAAAGAGCAGCTTCAAGAGAGGGGAGGCCAGCTCATGGGGCCGCTCTCATCCTTACCAAGCCCCCTGCCTCCCCTCACAAAGGGCACCTCCCTGGACGAGCAGCCTCCCGTCTAGCACGAGAAAATGGAGCTGATGGGCTGGGCGCCCATCAGTCAGCTATTAATAGCACCCGAGTCCTGGCCCAGCCCTGGAACGAGGAGGCAGTGCCACCTCCAGCCCCGGCCTCAGTGTGCGGACACAGACCCAACCCTGGGGGCACGAAAACAGGCTTCAGGGCTCTCTAGTCCAGCGTGGCAAATTGTTCCAGAACCTTCGGTGCAGGGCAGAAATGCCATCTCCAGGCTACCCCTTACCCTGGGCCAGATCCAGCAAGCCATCCCCCTCCCCAGCAAGCACATCCTCAGAGAGAGGCAGCCTCTGCTCCCCCACGCCACTCCCTTCTGGACCCTCTGACCTGGGCAGGGCCCCCACACAGGGTCCAGTAGGCTCACGCCCCTCTGCCTGGAGGAGACAGGCCAAGCCACGCGCCTGGGTCTGAGAAGGCCAGCCGAGCCTCCGAGCGGCAACCGCCCTCATGGTGGAGGCAGCGATGGGAGCCCCACCCCTGCCGCCAACTCACCTCGGCGGCCTCCTTCTCAAACTTCTCAATGGTCCTCTTGTCGATGCCCCCACATTTGTAGATGAGGTGGCCTGTCGTGGTGGACTTGCCCGAGTCCACGTGGCCGATGACCACGATGTTGATGTGGGTCTTCTCCTTGCCCATGGCGTTCGGGGGTGGGAAGGGCCGTGCGACCTGGGGGCTCGGGCTCGGGCTCGGGCAGGGGATGCTGAGCAGGGGCTCTGCGGGGTGAGGGTGGGGACAGGGGGCAGAACCTTAAGAAAAACCCAGCGAAGGCAAAGCCCTGCCCAGGCAGCAGCACATCTGGCCTCAGACCCAGCCCCAGCCAGGCCAAGTGCCCACGCTCCGTGCAAAAGTGAGACCAGCCGTGCCTGACCCAGCTGAGCAAGGGGCCAACCCAAACCGCCCCCTGTACATATCCAGGCCCACAGAGCCCCGGCGAACGGGAGTCTGATCCCTCTGGAGACACGGAGAAACACCGGCAGACAGGCCCGTGGCAGTCAGGAGCCGCGACGAGTCACCTTGCCAGCCCTCCAGTGCCCTTCCCCATCTGCTCTTTCCCCCCAGTTCTGGGAGGACACTGACCCCACCCTCACCCTCACCCCCACCCCTCCCGCAGAGCTCGCAGGAGGAAGCCGGTGCTCCCCATTCTCAGGCAGGGACAGGGACCCGCCATCTTCCTCTCTCCCTGCCTGGCTGGCACCAGAGACTTGCTGGCCCCAAGCTCCAACGGGATGGAGGCGCCCAGAACGGGGGCCCAGAATAGCCCGGCCCTCCCCCTCTGGGCAGGGGCCGACAGTAGGCAGGGAGGTGGGTGTCTCTGCTCTGTCCACAGGAGGAAGAGCTGGCCCTTCTGCTTGGTAGGGTCGAGGTTGGGGCACCCTTTCCCCCTTCCCGGTGGTCAGGGCCCAGGGCCCAAGCCCCTGCCCCATCCTGGAGGCCGTGAAGAACCTAGGCAGCCAAGCGGGCCGGGCGCTGGGAGGGAGAGCGGCACTGGCGTGTGGACACCCGGCGGACCCCACAGCGGGGAGGGCAGGGGCTGCTGACCAGGGCCCCGGGCCTCTCCGCCTCCCCTTCCCCCATTCCGGCGCCGGGCACCCCACAAGCCCCGGCACCGACTCCCCTGCCCCAAACCTGCAGACACCGGGCGGTCCAAGGTCACAGCGCAGGCAGGGCGACAGCCCCCGCCCAGGAGCCGCCCGGCCGCCGCCGCGTAAACAAGCGCCGCCGAGAAGCCCCCACCCCACCCGCCGGGGGCCCCGGGGTCGGTGTCGGGTCCGGGCGCGGGGCGGGCGCCGGTCCCTGCGGTGCGCGCTCGCGGCTTCGCTCGGCGCGGCCCGGCCCGCCGCCGGCCGGCCGGGGAGGGCCCGGGGAAGGCTGCGGGAGGCGGGACGGACCGCGGTCCTTACCGGAGCCGGTCTGCAGAGGGGCGGGCGGCGCGGCGGCGCGGCTTTATGGCTCCGGGCGGGGCCGCTGCCGGCGCGCGGGCGCACTGCACCGGCGCGGGCACTGCGGCAGCGGGGCGGGGCGGGGGCGGCGGGGAGATGCGCAGAGGGAGCGCCACAAAGGCGCGGACCGCCGCCGAGCGGGGGAGGGAGCCGGCGGGGCGGGGGCGGAGGGAGACAGGTGCCGGCGGGGAGGACAGCGGAGACAGGGCAGAGCAGAGGCGGAGGCCAGGCTCGGGCACCCAGAGAGGAGGGGAGCGAACCCGCAGAGACACTGCGGCAAACGGAGGTCCCCGGGGGTGGGCCGAGGGGACAGGCGGCAGGGTGCCGGGCAGACAGAGGCGGGCCTGGGGTGGGCACAGCCTGAGGGGCTCTGGGCCAGCCCCGCGCCTTTGGTGCCTGTTCTGGGGCCTCCCCGGACGCAGCCTGGGGACCTGCTTGTCTGCCCACCTGCCTGCCGCACAGGCTCACCACGCCCGCCCCAACGCCAGGCCCCTCCCTGCCTGGCCCCGCGCGGCCCTCAGCTTGGCCTGCGGTCCGGGCAGATCTGCCCAGCCCACCCTCCCTCAAGGCCCCCGGAGAGGCCGCTTCCACCTGGTCCCCCCAGTGTGACACCCAAAGTCTGTCCCCAGAGCACTGCCCCCCAATATCTTAAAGGGCTGCCCTGGGGTTTACGTGTGGACAGTGCGCCCCAGGGACGAAGAGTTGCCAATAATCTGCTCCAGGAACCCAGGCAGTGGCCCCACAGCCTCCCTCACCCTAGGTCCCGGTGGGGACAGCCCCATTCTGTAGGAGATGGGAGCGGGACGCTAGGATCCTGGCCAGACCAAGGTAACAGCCAGGGGGTTCATGGGGAGGAATGGGGAGCCCTGTGCTGTGGGGCTCCTGGGACCTGTGTCCTGTCAGGCCACGTTCCCATCACCACGTGGCCGGTGGCTGCTCCCACCACCTGCACCCCGGGGAGAGGCATGTCGCTCTGTAGCCACAGGCTCTGGAGAAGGTGGCAGGGAGAGTGCCGATGGGTGCGAGCAGAGGCCCAGTGCCCAGCACTTCCCCCTGGGGGTGTAATGGGGACCCCAGTGGGTCAGGAAGTGAGGAGGGGCTCCCCGTGAGGGATCTCTCAGAGGTCGGGCCGCCCCAGGGCTGTCCCGGGGGCTGCCCCACCCGCAGACCCACAGACCGGGCAGATGACCCCACACTCCCCGGTCTGCTGATACCTTCGAACAGAAGCCAGGGAGTAAAAATAAACGCCTGGCGAGAAAGCGAGGCCTCCGCCTGCCCAGCTGCTCGCTATATTTAATGCAACCCTCCTGCCCGAAGGTTACTCAGGATTTGGGAGCCACTGGGATGGGCTGAGGGGGGATGGGCCAGAAAGGAGACAGGAGGCCAGGGTCCCCAGGACACCCAGTCCAGCTTCCCCTGAGAGCCCCAGCATCAGAACCCCATGCCTGCAGCCTCAGGGGGCACCATCAGACACCCTCACACCAAGGGCTGAGCCCCACCCTCCCATCCGGGCTCCCTGGCTCCCGGCAGCTGGCGTCACCAAACTGCCCTGGGGCGCCTGTGCTGGGCTGACGGGTCAGAGGCCTGCTGTCCAGAGCAGTGCCGCTGCTGGGGATGCTGTGTCCTCCCGGGGGCGCACACTGACCCTGAGGAGGGGTGTCAGGTAGTTTCTTCCAAGGGCCTCCAACTCACACCGCCCACCCACAGCCAGGCTGCCTGCAGGCCAGGGGGGCAGGGACTCGGCCATCTGGAGACCCTCGGGCCACACGGATTGTGAGACTAAGCGAGCTAGATACCCCATAACAACACGCCAGCCGCGCACAGAGCGCCTGCCCCACCCCGCACCAAAGAGCGCTGCACAGCCACCAGCCACGGCGGCGCGCAGTGGCCGTACGACGGGTTAGTACCGCTAGCTGCCAATACGCACGACCCATGCACACACCTCACCACGGCGCTGGGACCAAGGCCGGCTGAGCGCAGGAGGCAACGCAGTGCCCGAGGCCGGGCCAGGAAGGCAGTTTGCAGTGTGCCCAGGGGCCTGAGCCAAAGCTCGGCCAGCCTGCCAGCTGCCTGCCTCACACTCCCTTCTCTCAGAGTGCCCCGTCGCCTGTGGTGACCCCTAGCAGCCAACAGGGAGGACTTTAGCCAGCAGCTGGGGCAGCCTCACAGCATGCTCTCAGGGGCAGGAGGAAGGGGTATAGGCTCCGCCCCCCTCCCGTGGCCCCCAGGCCCAGCCAATGGAAAGTTTGGGAGACACAGGCACCCCTCTTTGGCTGGCTGGGGTTTCGAGCCTGGGAAAGAAGATCCTGCTAAAATTAACGGTTCTCAAGCTGTCAGGCCTGGAAATAAACACGTCTCCCATTGGCTGCCGGTGATGTCACTGCCGGCTGACAATAACCTGCGGATGCAGAAGGCAGCCCCTGGCCTGGGCCTGGGCTTGGGCCGTCCTGGCTGTGCAGACCACCGTCACCGGGCTGAGGCAGGGCAGGGCAGGGCAGGGCTGAGCTTAGCTCTGGCCTCAGGCGTCTCAGAACGACCTCAAGCCCTGGCCTTGGGCCACAGGCTGCCCCGCCCCGGGCATCAGTGCACCCTCCTGTGCAGAGACCACCTGAGCATCAGGACCCTTGGGGACAAGTCCCCGCCCCAGCCTGCTGGCCCAGCACCCAGGAAACTGTCTGCAAGGGGCAAAGTAAGTGGTCTCCATGGCACAGAGGGGCTCTTGGCTGTGGGTTTCCTCAGAAAAGCTAGGTCATGGAGGGGAAGGCAGGGGCAGGGGCAGGGATGAGGGGACAGGCTCTCCACACGCACACCAGCTAGACCCCACACAAGCCAAGGGCCCCACAAGCCAGCCAAGCGAAACAGGAGGAAGTAAATTCTGATTTACTAGACAATCAAGGCCCCCAAACACTCCACCCTACCACACTCTGTGTCTGGGGCATAAGGCCAGCCTGAATCTGCCAGGGCAGCCCACAGCCCTCAGGAGCGGGAGGGAGGGCCTGCCCTCTTCCCAGGGGCACCTGGGCCAGAGGAGCTGTCTGAGGTCCCCTGTGCCTGCAGCGCCCTGAAGGAAGGAGCCGTTGCCATAGTGAAGGCACAGCAGCTCCACAGGCTCCTCTGCCCAAAGCCCTCACTCCCCAGCAGCCAGGGTGGCACACATGTGCAGCAGGTGCCTACGCGAGAGCTTGGCCTCTGCCCTGCACAAGCCCAGTGCCCACCTGCTTCCGGAGGAGGGTCTGGTGGCCACAGAGCAGAGTGGCAGGGGCCCCACACAGGCTGGGGGCAGAGAAGTGGCAGCTCAGGAGCTGCAGGCTGGGGCCCTCCTTTCCCAGGGGTCCAGGTTCCCCTGGGGGCTGAACAAAAGCAGAGCTGCCCTCCGGACCTGCATGAGTGGTGGAGGGGCCACGGAGCTCAGCCAGCCCACAGGGCTCCAGGGGGACATCTCTGGGCAGAACTGCCCCGAGGGGCCTGAGCCCACAGCAGTTCAAGCCTGCTCTCACCTCCTGCCTCCAGAGCAGAACAGGGCGCCGTCCGCCATGAGCAGGCACAGGGAGCAGGGCAGGGAGCAGGGCAGGGAGCAGGTGCAGGGAGCAGGGCAGGGAGCGGGGCAGCACCTTTGGCAGGTGGCAGAGACCCAGAGCCTCCCTTCCAGGAAAGGTTCTCCCCACACTGGCAAGACCCAGGAGGCTGGACCTGGGT